CTGTTAAAATGTGTGTACATTTTTTTGGGACACCCTGTAGTTTACATTAATTAATCAGCCATTGTGAAGAATGCCTTTATAAAAATTTACTAACTGGATTTCTGATTATTTTCTTAGGTTCCTTTTCTTTTGATTCTTTACTAGGTCTTTGCCTACTGACTATGCTTATATCACAAGGAACAGTTTTGTGTAGTGATTAAGAGTTTCACCTCTTTCCATATGCCTTTTAGCTAATATGACATAGTGACCTGGGACGAACTACCTGATATATCCAGGCCTTAGTTTTCTCGTTTGTGAAAGGGAAAGAATGTTAACTATAACACAAGATTAAGTGAAAATTAATGTATATAAAGAAGTGTTCTTCAAAATAATTTACCTGCATACATACACATAAGATAATTTTGAAAAAAGAGTCACTTAATTTCAAGTTGGCATCTATCTTTTGTCATTTATTTATTTTAAACTAGAGGCTCAGTGCACAAAATTCATGCATGGTAGGGTCCCTAGCGGCTGCCAGTGGCCGGAGCCTCACTTTCCCAGGGCCTCCCTTCCCCGGCTGCCAGCTGCCAGCCAGGGCCTTCCTTCGTTCCGAGCCTCCCCCTGGTGGTCAGCACACGTCATAGAGAGCCATCAAACTCCCAGTCGGTCAAACTCCCGAGGGGACGCTTTGCATATTAGTCTTTTATATATATAGATATATAGATAGTTGAGAAATGTAATCTTCAGTTTATTGAAAATATTAACACTTTGAAATAAAGCTTTTATATCCTTATTTTAAATATATCCAGTTAACTATAAATACTAATGTGATGGTATCTATTCTATAGAATATATGAACAGGCTCCTGACAATCTTAAAGTTTACATTGTTCCTTTTTGTCTTTTAAATTGTTTCCATGTATTTTCCCCACAGATTTTTATAATGTATTTTTGTGCTTGAAAGTGCTTTATTGATCACCTAATTTCTCTACCACCATATGTATTCTTGTTAACAAAGGTTCTAAGTGTTAAAACTCTTTTGGCTTGAGTTATTACAATTAATGCACAATTGATTAAAATTCTAGTCATGTGCCTTGAGTAAAGGAGGGCTTTGCCGATAGCCTTTGACACTATGGAAATTTTAAATTTTTAGGCAGTGCTTTCTTTTTTTTAAATCCCCAGAGGCAGGAGAGGCTTCCGCCACCGCCGCTGCACTCGCCAGCCATGAGCCCAGCTTCTGGCTGAGCGGCGCTCCCGCTGTGGGAGAACACTGACCACTAGGGGATAGCTCCTGCATTGAGCATCTGCCCCCAGGTGGTCAGTGTGCATCATAGTGACCAGTTGTTCCGGTCATTCCGTTGTAATGGTTGCTTAGGCTTTTATATATATAGACTAGAGGCCCAGTGCATGAAATTTGTGCACAGGAGGGGGGTCCCTCAGCCCGGCCTGTATCCTCTCACAGTCCGGGAGCCCTGCTGTCAATAACCCCAAATAAGTAGGCCCCGCCCACTCAGCTGGGGCTCTGCGATGGATTGCCCCTGCAGAGGGAGGCCCCGCCCACCCACTGCAGTGCCACTGCTGGTAGCCTGGGCCTCCCTCTTTGGGGTGATCGACTGCGGGGTTTCTCCATTGATCACCCCAAATAGGTAGGCCCTGCCCACCTGCCGCAGCGCTGCTGTGGGGTAGCCTGGGCCTCCCTCTTTGGGGCAATCATGGAGCCCCCCAGTTGATCGATCGGCCAGTGGCCTGGGCCTCCCTCTGCAGGGCAATCATGCGGTGATGGCCGGGCCCCCAACCGATCGCATCACACCCGCCTAGGCTGGTCTGGCACCAGCCGGTGTCATAGAGTGGTTGTCTGGAAGGTCATCCGAAAGGACGTCCAGAAGGTCGTCCGGCTGTCCAGTCTAATTAGCATATTATGCTTTTATTATTATAGATATTGTTTAGGGAGTAATCAGGTAGGCCTAACTACATCGTACATGTCCCCAACAGCATACCATTTCTTTTCCAAATATTTTGATCCCGTGGTTGGTTGAATCTGTGAATAATGTGGTACCCATGGATACAGAGGGCCAACTGTACTTTTGTTCAATAGTTGTTGGTTTTCACCAATTGGTCTCATACTTTACTAACTGTAGTTAAGAAGATCTAAAATTTTTCAAAGGGATTAAACTTTTAAGGGTTTCATTTAACATTTTTAAAAACTTGTTCAATAATTTTATTTTCAGAACTGATCCTACTACAGTTTTTTAAAATTGTGGTAACTTGCTACCTAGGTTTTGGTTGGTTGGTTTGTTTTTTAATCAATTCAAAAGTTAGGATGCTTCTAAGGCTTGTTATTTTGTTTGTGAGTCAAGTTTGATTCTCAGTACTATTCATGAATATCAGACAGTTTTGAGATATAATCTTCAATATTGTTACAGATAAAAGTAAACTTTTAAACTTTGGGTTTGTGTCCTTTAAATATTTTAGTTCATTTCGACTTTTGTAATGGAAATGGTGAAACTTGATTGAATGCAAAGTATCCGGGGGGATAAAATGTTTTTAATAATACAAGTTAATTTCTAATATTATATTATTACAGAGGAATCAGGTTTAATTTGTCAGAAAAACTAAAAGGTCATTTCAGCTATTCAATCTCCTTTTCAAAGGGTTGATGAGAGGGGGTATCAGCCTTTTGTGTTAGAGCCCCATGAGGTGTTATTCATTCATACTCTTACTTGATTGATAATATGAGAAGAAGCTCTTCCAGAGTAAAGAAAGGAACTTAAGAAAGAACTGTTTTCAATAACCATGTACTAGGGATAATAAGTCTTATATAAGCATTATCCAAATGCTTACCATTTGCTGGCTACTTTATATTAACTCATTTAATTTTGGAACAACTCTGTGAAGTAGGAACTCTCATCATCCCTATTTTTAAAGATGAGTTACGTTGGGGCACAGATACATTAAATAAGTTTGCTCAAGGTGACAAAGCTAGGAAGTAGCAGAGCTGAGTTTCAAACTTGGAGTGTAGCTCTCTGATGGTTACACTCTTAATCATTATACTAAAAAGTATCCCATTTTTTGTGAACATCAGACATCTCTTGGCCTCGTTGAGACATATATGATTGAAAACAGTGGAGACCATTTCAAGGGTTAGGGAAAGAACATTGTGAAATGCCTAATTAGGTGTTCTCTGGTGCCAGGCACGATTATTCTACAAATGCCCCCCTACATCCATTAGTAGAGCTGTTAGTGCCCACAGCTTGGGTGCCAGTCTCTGTCAGATCTTACAATGCTGAGAATTATGGGGAAAACTTAACTGTTATTCTTCATGGGGGAAAATATTTGTTTTAAAGTTTATATTCATTTAAGAGATATTTAATGAAGATATTTTAATTCAGGCCTTCTGTAATGCAAGAATCAGATGCAAGAAAATGTTTAAATATTAAGCATAATATACTCTTAAGACTTGAGACTTTCCCTCAAGGGCATGTACCTTGGTTGCAGGTTCCCTGACCCTGGTTGGGGTGCATGCAAGAGGCAACCAATCAATGTGTTTCTCTGTCTCTCCCCCTCCCTTTCACTCTCCCTAAAAAAAATCAATGGAAAAATATCCTCGGGTAGGATTAACAACAACAAAAAGACTTGAGACTTAATGCAAACCTTTGTTGCAATCTGTGCTTAATTAAGTCGGATTTAAATTATAATCCATTGTGAAAAAGAATCAGTGCCATTTTAAAGGATTGAAGTTTAGGATACTCATTTGAAATAGCAATGGAGTTTAAGTAATAAAGGCTTCTGACCTATTTAGATAGGATGTCTGTATTATTTCCATCGAATGACTTGACTCTTTGTTTTTGTGCTTTTATTTTATGTGTTTAAAATCAAATATGTATTTTATTTTTTAGCAAGAGAAAATAACAAAACTTAATACATAGTATGGAAACCTTGCATGCATGAGGGAGTCAGAGACCCACATGCAGAAGAGGGTCAGAGATAGACAGAAATTGTGGCCATGAGTTGCTGGTAGCTATCAACACCTTATAAAAATCAATTATGACATGTTTATAAACAAGTCTTCTTAAAATAGGTGGCAACAATGCTTCATTTGTTGGTAGTTTGAATTACCTTGAATGTACCTATGAATTAGGAAGTAGCCAAGAAAAGACCAGACCTCATAGGCATGTACTTGGCTCTGGGATAGCTGTGTCAGGCATTCGTTCATTCCGTCTATTCTTAATTTACCTGCTGTTTATCAGTAGAGCTTGATTTTTCTGACTTTTTAGATTATAACAAGTTAGAAGTAAAATTAGAAACAAGCAATAGTATATTCCTAGATTGAGGTAGACTCTCAAATTACTTTAAAAAGAAGTAGCATTATTAACTTTTACATTGTTTTACTTTGTTTTCTTCTTACACAGAGCACATACTTTTATAAATGTAAAATGTAATAAATGAAGTCTAAAAAGGAATAGCTGGCAGACTTCTAGCCAGGAATAAGATTAAATAAAAACTATAAAAAGCAGATACAAGTATTTAAGAATTACAGTAATCTTGGCCCATTTAGATATAGGGCAAAACAATTAACTTACCACCTGAGATATTCTCTATGGTTTTAAAAGAGTTTTTAATGACTCCTAAGTAATGTATACAAGGTTAAGTCAGTTATTATCTATAAAGAAGTAGGGATGTGTAATGTACTTAAAATCTTTCTTTTTAATTTAAAGGGGGTAAGCTTCAGTGTTTATGAAATTTCCTTCATTTTTATAAATGGGATATTTAATGTATTTGATGTAAATCTGTTTTCCTTCTCTTTATTTTTCTGTACTTTGTCTCTTTGCCTTCCTTTGCAGGTACTATAATAATATAGAAATAAACTAATCTTGGTTATACTCATTTTGAATGTAAATAAAAATCCATCGTATTCAAAGTAATTAATTTTTTCCCCAGGTGCTACAAAGTACACAGATAAAGACAATGGAGGAATGCTTGTATGGTCTCCATATCACAGTATTCCAGATGCCAAATGTAAGTTTTCTGAACTTGAACATTTATGTCAATAGGCATCTACTAACCAATTCAAAATGCAACTTTTATTTGTTTTTGGGTCTCTTAGATTCTCATAAGAAAAAACAGTTTGTCCTTGTTTTGTTTTGTTTTGTTTTGTTTGATGGAGGTTGTTATATTAGAATGTTTTTCCTTTTGAAAGGTAGTGGGTTGATCATTCCAATTTGTGTCAGGCCCAGGAAGACAGAGGAAACCTAGGATCTGATGGCATTTTGCTGCTTAAATCCCCAAGCAGGGGAGGGAGTTCCTATGTAGACATCTGCCCAGGTTTTTCCTCAGTGTATGGAGATGTAAAGAAATGCCTTCCAACTTCAAAGAGCCCACTGTCAGTACCATGTTAAAGAGGAAAGGGGAAAGAACTGACTCCAGCAGCCATCAATCAGGTCATCTCTGTGCTCTCCATTTCTGGACGGAGGCCTTCTGGATCACTGACCATGCACTTCTTGAATCATGGTGTGGCTTTAGACTTCAGTGTGATGTAGCGGACCTGATCCTTTGCGGCACATCAGATATAGGAAACGTGCAGGTAACAAAACTAAGATCCCCATCCCTCCATTTAGTTACGTTGAATTTACTAAAACAAAAGAACCACTGAACAGCTCCTTTAGCAGCTGTAAAATAAGCTGGTCTTTTAAAAATATTTACTAAATCTTATAGCTGTCCCATGATGGTTTATTTAGAAAAGTAATGATCATATAATAGTAAGTCTAAGTATACTTATTGATGCAATAAGAGAACTCAAAGTTGAAAACTGAAAAATATTCTGCATACCAGATCATTTTTCCTATTTAAGCACTGTTGTGTTTCTTTGGTTCACTCATAGGCAAAGGTTTTCATTCAGAAACTGAGTATCAGAGCGTCATTGGCTTTTGCTTTTTTAGCACTGTTTTTATACAGTGGTGCCTTTCTGAGCAAAGTGATAAACAAAATTCAGAAAACCAACATTTCCTGATAGTATGGTGTTCATGTAGAACAGGGGTCCTCAAACTACGGCCCACGGGCCACATGCAAATACAAATATTGTATTTGTTCCCGTTTTGTTTTTTTACTTCAAAATAAGATATGTGCAGTGTGCATAGGAATTTGTTCATAGTTCTTTTTAAAACTATAGTCCGACCCTCCAACGATCTGAGGGACAGTGAACTGGCCCCCTGTTTAAAATGTTTGAGGACCCCTGATGTAGAATATCCAACTGAAGGTCTAGGGTTATGCATTGAAATCACTTGGGGGAACTTTAAAAAAATAAACACTACTGATGTCTGGTCTCTTGTCTCAAACCATCTATCAGAATTTTCAGAGGTGGAGCCTGGACTTACTTTTTATTTATTTATTATTATTTTTAATCTTCACCCGAGGATATGTTTTTATTGATTTTTAGAGAGAGTGGGAGAGGTAGAGAGAGAGAAACATTGATGTGAGAGAGAAACATCAATCAGCTGCCACCCATATGTACCCCAGTGGGTATCAAACCCGCCACCTGAGTATATGCCCTGGCCAGGAATCAAACCTATGACCCTTTGGTTCCTGGGACCAACACTAACCACTTAGCAACACCAGCCAGGGTCAAACTTACTTTTTAAAAGCTCTTCCATTGATTCTAATGTAGAGCCTGCCTTAAGAACCATAGGTTGATTGGTATTGTTTAGCCTTCTATTTATACGTTTATAGGACATTTTTGTTAAGTTTAATTAGCATATATTTAGACCTGTCATGTGTTTAAGTACTATAGGTTCTAAACAGAATATAATATTTGGATTTTCTGTACCAAAAGTTTACAGTCTTAGGGAGATATAACAACATCTATAAAAGATAGTTATTCTAACAGCATTTTTTAATAATAGCATATGTATAAATTAATCTATATTGTACTGAGCAATGATGATAACACATTCTTATAAAGTAATTAAAATGTGCTATTTTAAACACTTTACACCTATTAGCTCATTTAATCCTAGGAGGAAGGTACTATTTTATCACTATTTAAAGTGAGGAAACTAAGGTACAAAAAGGTCAAGTTTAATTGCCTAAAGTTAAAACACTAGTAACAAGGCTGAGAATCAACTTCAGGTAGACTAGCAGTTCTAGAATCATAATTCCTAACCACTGCTTCTCAAAAATGTGCTTAAAGAATATATGTGTGTA